CCCCCCCCCCCCCCGCCACATTAGACTACATTACAGAAAATTTATAAATTTATTTGGGAAAGCAGCTGCAAGTGGGGCACACAACGGGGGCATTTCTTCCCCTGCAGTCTCTGCCCCCCTGCAGCTTCTGGCCCCTACCTGCTCCCCACAGCCTCTGCCCCTTTCCTCCCCCTCCCCCTTACTCTCAGATGTGGCTACAGCTCCATTACTTCCCAGGGCATGCAGCACTTGGAAGAGCTGATTTAAATATTACTGTATTTACTCAGTTCCAAAACAAGGCTTTTCTCCACATTCATCATGGGGAAAATCAAATACCAGCAGGCCACACTGGGTCCTGGGCTGTTCTCTGGCTCTGGGATGATTCCTTCACTGCCCTTTCGCTCCTTGTCCCCCCATAGCTTCTCCCCTGGTGTCTGCCCCTCTCACACACATACCTCCTCCCCCCTCCTGCCTTCCCCTGGCCACTTGTCTTCCTCGTCCTCCACTGCCGCATGCTGTGCTCCTGGACAGCTCTGTGCTGTGTCCGTCTTTGCTCCCTGGCTCAGCAGGCAGCCAAGAATAAGTGAAGGATCCAGTGCCGTGCCAGGGAGCAGTGAGGGAATCAGCTGGGAGCCAAACAGCAGCAAGACCCAGTGCTGATTCCCTTGCCCCCTATGACTGTTCTGCGTCCTGCTGCTGTCTGGCACTGCTCTGATTCTCTAACTGCTCCCTGGCTCAGGAGGGAGGCCATATGGCCAGGGGCAGGAAGGAGGGGGGACAAGGTGTGTGTGAGAGAGGGGCAGACACCAGGGGAGAAGGTATGGTGGGGGGACAAGGTGTGGAAGGAGCAGGCATGGGTGGGGAGCAAGTCACATGGGGGCAATCCGCAAAGGAGCATGGATCTGAGGTCAGGCTGCCTGCCCCCACCATTTGCCTCTCTGCTGCTTGCCCCTCCTTGCTGCTGCTTTCCTGCTGCAACAATAGGGGAGATGGATTTAAGATGACCCTCCAATAATCCTATGATTATTGATCCTTTGATCCTATGACCCCAGCTGACTTCCTGCCCTTTGGGCGGGGGGCTGGACTCGATGATCTTCCGAGGTCCCTTCCAGCCCTGATGTCTATGAAATCTAATGAGAATCTTTACCTGGAAAATTTTAAGAAATTTATAATTTTCCATGCATAGACTCTAATATTTTGGGGGGGGAGGGTCATCTTAAATTCAAAGTAATCTTGGATTCAGGTAAATACATATAATAAGTCATACTTATAATAAGTTATGCATATAATACATTATGTCACTGCTAGGTGGTGGGGAAGCGGGTAATTGTTTCTCTATAGCAAAAGGCTACCCTAAGACAGAAGTAGAGAGATGACCTTTACACTGATGTAAATTATATCAGTGTATTTTTAGCACAGATTTTCTAGGTCAAATTTACTCCAGGGTTGATTCACTTATACAGGTATAGGGTATTTGTACACCGACTGTTCCTTGTTTACTCCAGTGTAAAGGGAAATTACACTGACGTCAATGTGTCACATGTTTAAGCCCTAAGAGGTCTGAACAATGGGAATGCTTCATGCAAATTAACTTTAAGTTTGGACCAAGTCCTACTGGCCCTCTTCTGTTCATTAGATTTTAGTGCTAGAATAAAATAAAACAATCTCATGTTGTTTAATGTTCAGCATTATAACAAACATTTTTTTGAGACTGAAATTTCAGAGTGCTATATATAACATTATTCTTTTAAATACATGAGTTAAAATTTTTAGAGGAACATTACATTTATTATGTGAACAACACAAACCTGATGCCTTATGAGGAACTTTTCCAAGCAGGGGAATATTTATAGTTGGATCAGTCATTATGCCTTTATCCAGTGAGCGCAAAGACAGGAATTCATAAAAGTACTCGGCCTACGAAAAAGCACATTAAAAATACATGTTTATTTTAACTGCATTCACTGCAGCAACTATTCAGCATGTAAAGCAAAGAAGGATACTAGTGAATTTTTAGTCTTCATGCCCTTTGTCATATTTTTCCCATTATTTCTTTAACTGATTCCTTGGTTACATGTAATTTTCAGATTAATATCTGTCCTTGGAAATTGGATATATTACAGTACTGTAAGCTAGTGGGAAGCCTAAACAGCCAGGAAAGTTATGTTTCTTTGTATTACACATTAAAATAAAAAGAACAAATACTGTGGTGTCAATAACTTTTACACGCCAACTTCCATTGCAAGGGATTATGCAACCAATAAGCTAATTCTCAAGCAAAATTCTCACTGCGCTCAATGGGTTAGAGTCTCAATTTTGCAACAGCTCTTTAGCACTGCTCCAGTAGTACAAAGACACCATAAAGCTGTCCTAATGATGCAGCTGAGGAATTCCCCATAAAGCAGTGTCTACACTACCGACGACCAGACCCCACAGCATAGAGACTCTGTTGTGAGTGTCAGCAGTAGGAGCTAGCATAAATTATAGAATCCTAGAAAATTAAGGCTGGAAGGGACCTCAGGAGGTCATCTAGTCCAAACCCCTCCTTATAGCAGGACCATCCCCAACTAGATCATCCCAGCCAGGGCTTTGTCGAGCCAGGCCTTAAAAACCTCCAAGGATGGAGCTTCTACCACCTATGGTTGGAACACTGCTGGGTGCCTCGCCTAGGCACCTTAATTTGGTTCCCTTGTATGTATACATTATAATACAGGATAAGAGTCTTCACATATAAGGTTGTATGGTGTTTTACCACAAGAACTTTGTCTCATTCCTGGATAGATATTTCTTTTTATCCATTTCATTTGATGTCTTAACCCCAGGCCTTACTGAACTCCATTCAAACCCTAAACTGAATACAGGATGATTAGTTTTCTTCTAAGCAGCTCTCTCGTGAGGGTTCTCGCAACAACGCTTGAGTTCTTCACACAACTCCCTCTGAGATTGGATGATACCATTAAGCCCATTTTATAGATGGGTGTTGAGGCATAAAGAGATTAAAACTAAAATTTGTCCAGTAAGTTTGGGGGCCTGAATTTTCAAAGCATTGGGCACTGTATGCTTCAATAATAACACCTCCCATTGATTGCAAATGAAGCTGTCAATGAAGTGAAGCTCAGCACTCTAGCAAATCCAGAAAATGAGAATTAGGCAATTAGTGAATAGCTGCATCTCAGTAACCTGCCCAGAATCATCTGTGCCAGTGAATGTCAGCCAGAAGCAGGGACAGAATCCATTTCTAATGGGCAGTATTTGACTTCCTTAACCACAAAATCATCCTCTCTTCTCTTCAATCCCCTGCTTCTTTCAGTATACACCTTCTAACAACTGCAACAAATGCTTTACGCAGCTTCAACTCTGTTGCTTCCTAAGTCCCGTGTGCTTTATTTTGTAAGAATAACATTCTTCTGAAATAGTTTTCAAAGTCCTACAGACAACATTTGAATTGCTGAACTTCCATTGTATGGAACCATAGCAAGCCTTCTGATTTGGCCAGGGTTTAATCTCTACAGCACAGATCTCTGGTTGAGCTAATGGCATAACTGGCAGCACTGTTAAGTTATTATCCTCTGTGTGAATGAGTTGCAAGGTGGAAGAGGAGCCATATGCTTTGTCAGGGAGTTTCTCACCTATTGTCTGAGCACAGAGGAATGTAGAGATTGCTGACCTCTGGTTTCTGTTACAGATTCTGTAGTAGTACCTTTCAAATGGCTATAAATCCTCCTGCCCCTTCTCCTACCACGACTGTCTCTGCCCTCTTTCCTCTCATCTTCTCTACTACGATTCCTCCTTCTATTCCTCTCTGCTCTCCTGACATACATCCTGCTCCTCTGCTTCTCCTGTTCCGCTCCTCTCTGCTACCTCCCCCTTCTCCTTGATGCTCAGATCTCAGGAGCACTGACAGCATGGGAGTGACTGTCTCCTTGCTCTTCATTGTGGTGGCAGTAGCACAGCATCTACCAGCAGCTAGGAGGAACAGTTACTGAGAAAGTCTTGCTTAGGGGTTGCAGACTTGGGAGAAGCATACCCAGTTATTTTGTGGGAAGGACATGAATAGTCCAGTTAGGGCATAGGATTTTTGAGGGTCTGGAGTGTATTCATTGCAAAGGACAATTTTAAAGGAGGGCTGAATAGAAGAGCAGTCTAGGCATGGAGATATAAGTGGGGGTGCACTGATAGAGATTTTTTGGGCTGATACCTATAGTCAATTTTTAAGGAGGCATATTGGCTGATATGATTTCCGATATGCACCCCAGCAGCTTCGAGAGCTGCGTCCAGATGGTAAGTCTGTTGTGGTGGAAGGGGAGGGGATGGGAGGAGGGGTGGGGGGGCTGGTGCAGGACAGAGCCATGGCTCATCTGTGGGGTGTGGGGAGGGGGTGCAGCTCTGGCCACTACACGTACCCCAGGAGGGCATGGGGGAGCGTATGTTCCCAAATCTGTGCAGGGCAGGGTGAGGCAGGCTGCCACTTCAGGCTGGGGCCAGGGGCTGTGCCAGGCTCTTCCCAGTGGGGGCTGGGCTGCACTTGGGGCATGTGGCTGCAGTGCTGGGAGGGCGATTGGGGGGGCTACAGCAAATTTTGAGGTGGCTGCAGCCCCACTGCCCCTGTAGCTCCTTCCCAGTGCCACTGCCACCCACCCTGAGCTCAGCCCGGCCCAGCCTCCAGCGGCAGCCGCCCTGCCCCACACAGATCTGGGGGCACATGCCCCTGTGCCCTCCTGGGATATGCGCAGCAATGGGAGCTGCCACCCCTTCCCCGTGGCCCCTGGATGAGTCGTGGCTCCATCCCGTGTCCCACCTCACCCCAGCTGCTCAGCGCCTGCCCCTGCCCCAGCCTCACCCCCTCCCTCCACGCACCACAGAGGGCATTGATCTTCTGTCCCCCCACACACCCTCCCTCCCCCCTCCCTTTCCACCACAACAAACTTACCAGCTGGATGCAGCTCTGCAAGCTGTTGGACTGTGCTCCTGGTCCCACGCATGCTGTGGCTATGCGCATGCATAGGGTGTTTATGCGCCACATTATCGGACACATCAGGCAAAAAAAGCTGATTTCCAATATAGTCAATTTTCTTTATATTGGTGCCAATCTGATATTGGACTGATGCATCAGTGCACCTCTAGATATAAGTGGTTAAAAGGAGAAAAGACAATTATTATAGGTTGATGAAATGAATAGTGTGTGTGGATGGGGTATCAGTAAAGTACTCCAAGTCTGATTTTAATTAAAGAAAGGTTTTACAATACAATCTGCTATGCCAAAATATGAAAACAAAACCATAGAAGTTTTATATTCTGAACATTTTTGCTTTTAAATCTTTTGTTCAGAAAAATAATTGTTCAGCTCCCCACAGATCTGTACAGTGCTATAGCGAATAAGTTAATACTGCAGTGTCTGTTTCTCATTGGATAGCTTTGATGTTTATATATCTAAACCAGGTCATGATGGGGTGGGTTATTAAAACGATATGTTCTTACAATGAAGTAAACAACAACTAGGAAATAAAGCAATAGCTCCACTCCCATGTTTCCATCTTGGTGGTGGTGTAGCATTCCATTTGCTAACAGCTGGGGATGCAGCTGGCATTATCTTCTAGATGAGGCAAAGACAAAATCTTTTGAGGAAAAGAGAATTACAGGGAATTACTGCTACATGCATCACTTCAGTTCCTCTCAGGGTAGAAGTACTAGATGACTCCTTTTAAAAAAAGAGGCATAATAGTCATTAATGCATTGGGGTATGAGTCTGTTCCAATCACGTTACAAATTAGCTGAGCAAAGCTGGGGAAAAACCAACATAGCCATCAAACTTACTGAGAGAAAAAAGTTCTTACTGGTGGCCAAGGTGTTCTCTTATAATTATGCAGAGACCATAAACTCCATTAGTTTCTCTAGTCGAAGGAAATTTGGGGGTTTGGGGGGCGTTTTCACTGAATTAGCTAACAAGAACTGAAACACCATTTAGCACCTACGGAAGGCCTCACAAACCTGAAACTGTGTGTACACTGTGTGCTAAGTAATGTTGCAAATCATGTTTGCTAAATCTTAGTTTAAAAGGTTCCACAAACTAAGGGCTATGTCTACAGCCAGTGGGGTGCGGCCCTAAAACACTGGGAACAAACCTTTTTGGCAGGTGTGCCAAAAATTGGCCCCACATCCTCTCTGAGTACCACTGATCCCCCTTCCTCTGCCTGATCTGATGTTCTGCTTTCTGCTCCTTGCCCTGTATCCAGGCGCAATCTGCTGTTCTGCTCCCTGCTTCGCGCTCCCTGCCTGATGTGCTGCTCTGCTTTCTGTCCTATCTGCTGCTGTGCTGCCTGTCCCCTCATTGATCTATCACATGCTACACAGAGGGTGCCCATTGCCACTTGTGGCACATGTACTGCAGGTTGGCCACCCTTGTTCTAGTGCAGGGGTGCAAATCTATGGCCTGAAGGCTGGATCCAGCCTTAGGTCCAGATTTAGGTCATAGAACCGGGGGTTTGGTGACATTTGGCAGCATAGGCTCATCGGCATTCAACCTTTGCCATACCATGCCACAGACATGTGGCCAAGCTCTTTCATGTGCCACACCAGAGCTGGGTGGCAGCGAGAAGTGGTGGCAAGGAGAGGACCAGCCCAACTCAGACCCTAGCTGGGCCATTCTGCCAGGAAATGTTGCTAACTCTTGCATTAGTGTAGATGTAGTTCTGCTGGCAAAAGGAGTGTTTCTCCTGCCAGAGCTAAACCAGTTCCATGGAACAAAAATCTCTGCTGACAGAAGCTGCCTCCAGTTGGTAGAGCTGTGTCTGCACAAGAGCTGTGCTGACCGGGGCTGCTGGCTACAGGGTGTTTTCCTTTCATGCTTCTAGCTCCTATGGTTCTGCCAATAGAATTTTCTAATGTACAGAAGGGCTAAGGAAGTGATTTGTGACTTG